CTCTTGCTGTGACCAGGCATATCTCCAAACTGGAGCTACCTGGCCGTTCTAGCTTTATAGTTTGTGACAAGTTTGCAAGGCTTCTCTGTCTATTCCTCCATGATGCTTCTGCCCTATCATCTCCTCTTGAGCCTGGGGTCATTGCTTTGCCCTTTGTCCCCAAAGTTCTCACCATGTCACTCCTCAAAGGCCAATCCCTCAGGGTTCCTCTCTGCTTCTATGGTAAAGCCCTGATTCCTTAGCCTCACCTTCAGGGATGCCATCCCACTGCACTTTTTGCTTGCAACCTACCCCCAAATGTTCTGCCTCTCCTTGACTGCCAGGGATGTGATATCACGTGAGATGTGCCCAGAAGTTTCCTTGGACCGGTTGCCCTTGGCTCCAGGTCCCTGATACCAGCCTGTACTGTAGGGTTGCTGGCAACACATGCAGGCACTCTTTTCCTCTGGGATGGTGCTTAACCAGGCTCCTGGGTCTCAGTCCTTTTGTCACCACACCAGTGGGCACTCCATAATGTGAGTTACTGAGTTGAACTGCATGTAATGACATATTCCATCAAATGTTTTTGTCATTTTTCTGTAGTATTTATGGAAGAGACGGGTATTCTGTGTTATAAGTTCTCCTTTCCCCCACCCCTCATATCTAATAATACCAGCAGAAAGGTTTGTCTTACTGTAACAAGTCTGATGGGGTTTCTGCATACAAGTTTTTGCCAACACAGGAAATTGAGGTGCATTCGGTGAAGTCAGCCACTTCATTATTGGAATCTTGCCTGAAATGAGAAACTTCATTTGGGTACTTGAGTTAGGTATTTTTCTCAAGCATTAAACTTCACCCTTGGAAACATATCTCGGGTGTGTCTTACATTTTTGACCTTGAGGACAGCAGCACCTTGATGTGGTTCAGAAAGATCTCTGCCCCATGGGGACACTCCCTTTTGCTGGACCTTTGGAAAGTGGCATGCATTTTGCCACATATCTTTCTTATTCCCTTTTGAAAGTTGATCCTTCAATTCCAAATGATTTCATAACCTGTGTCTAACTGGTTTTTGTGTAAATGTAGTAAAATACCTAGTTTTGATCTTTGCTTTGGGATCATTGATTTACCCTTGATTTGCAGCCCTGGATTTATTCATTTCGATATTTATTTCTTGAGCACCTTCACCTGTGCAGAACTGTGGGTTGGGTGCTGACGCATGCTTCCTCATCCTGGGAACTTCATTCCCT